CTTGCGATTCTCGTAGACGACATTGCGGAAGAGAGCCATGTAATGAGTGGGCGCATGAGAATCTGTTAGCTTGCGTTCGATGTCCTGTAGCATTGCCCAATGATTACGGTATACGTCTTCCTGGGGCAATAAGCCGAGTGCATCGAGAGCAAATGGCGGGTCGTCATCTGATGCTGCTCCAATCAGCGCAACGTATAGGTTGCTTTGAACAGGGTCTGATAGGGCCTCCATCACACTCCACTTGACGCCTTCATATGCATTCTTATCGCGGTCCGTAACACGGTCGAGAATCGTAACAAGAGCCGCCGCTGCTCGGACGGCCACGTCCTCGACGTCAGCATGGCGATGATAGAAGTCATCAATGGCTTTGACTAGTGATGTCAACTTCTGTGCACAACTGGAGACGTCGAACCGAGGGGGGCCTTGAGAGAGGTTGTATGGTCCCTTGGCTATGTACTCATCCAAAGCGTCGAAGGTGGAAGTAATGCGCCTGTCGATCTTTTCGAAGAAGACACGGCTTTCGAAGTCCGGGTCGATGATCTTGCGCATTTGGAGATATAGGCTGGGATACCAGTTTGCGTACTGCGTAAAGAGCTCTGTCAACTCCTGGTACTTCTTGGACCGTTCGGAAGTAAGAGGCGACTCGGGATGTCGAAACTCTCCAGGAAGTGCATCTTGTGGCTCGTAGCAAGAAAACATGTCAATGACTGTCTCCTTCAAGTCGTCGTCTTCAGGCAGATTGTCATCCCGATAAACCCACTTCAGGTCGTTGGCGATATTGGCTAAGCCTTTGGTGTCCAGTAGTTCCGCAGGCTTGACGTCTTCGATCTTCGAGCCATCGGGAGAAAGGTGAAGAGGCGTCTTGACCATATCGTCTGGAGAAGTTGAGATGATCTGGTCTCCGACCCAATAGATGTGCTTGGGCTACTTTTAGTGATGCGTCAATGGTTGTGTATGCGAAAGCGTACCTTGCACGCGAGACCTTTTTCGTTTGCGCCACACGTACACTCAGGTCTTTGTAACTTCCCACCCATCGCCACAATGATGTCGTCGTCAAGATGGAAGAACTTCTTTGGGCTGCCATTCGGGCTGTAATCATCTTCCGAGACTGCGCAGTACTTGAGCCTGATATCGCTACCTTCCAGTCCTCTTTTGGCCCGCCTTCGTAGGTCGGTGTCGAAGGCCGAGACATTGTAATGAAGGTTCTTCGTTGATATAACCAGGGAAGGCGTAGGGGAAACGGTGGACTCGACGGATGGTATGGGCTGATCTTCCTCAGAATGCCCCGATGATTGTGTACTAGCTCTTGCGGCCCTTGCGGCCCCGGCACGAGTGGTAACCATGTCCTCTCCGAGAGAGAGCTTTGAGAATTGCTCTGCTGACATGGAGAATCTTCGTTATGGGGTACTTTCATACTAAAAGCCCAGTAAGGAGCTATATATCAAACCAACTCCCCCAGCTCCACGCCACCATCTTAGTTGATCCATCGTGTAGGCAGAGCATGTCCTCCATCTCACGACGGCGCTTAACGAGTAGGCCTTCCGTGCCGTAAGGCATTCGTACGTGTGAAGCGGATGTGGCTTGCTCGGGGAGAACCGAAAGTAGGGCAGGAAATCTGTCAACGCCGCAGTACTGCCTGGCTTACTAGAGCGAGTGCGGTAGGGTGACCACGGACATTTGCCGCGATTCCGTGCACGTTGGTGTCTTTATCGCGTCAATCATCTGCTTTTGGCCAGCATAACTGTCATAATACCCACTTGTTCACGAGTATTCCTCGTTGTGCACCAATAACATTGCATCGGTAGACCGAATGCCCAGTCTGCTTGAGGCGAAGCGATGAAAGCTTTAACCCGACGCGGTTAAATTAGGGGCGGCCGACGATCAAGGAATTGCCTTCTCCAGAGAATTATCTCGTTTTGCCGCCGGACCTTAATCTTAGAAATGCCGCTAAATGGTCAAGCTCAGCTATCGCAGGCTGAGTCGCAGTGATAATGCAAGGCACGGCGTTGGCGCACCGCAGCGGAGGCGAGGCTCGTGATCCAGCTTGCAGCAGGAATGCTACTTCCCATGCAAACCCGAATCCGTGCCGACACGCTGTACACGAGAAGCTTCGCTGCCAGGGATAATTAACGTAATAGCAAGCCTGGTGAACTTGCTCAAGTCGTAGGCAGCATCGGTCCGTGGTGGTGGAGTAGCGAGAACTGACGTTACTCAGCCATGATGTACGGCGCGCGCGAACCCTGTAACTACCAGTCAATATCTGGACCTCGAACCGTTATAAGGCTGACTGGAATGAAAGGAGTAATACGCTTCGAGTTAAGCTTCTGACCGCATAAACATCTATTTCGTGCGTGGCACATTCTGATGATGTCCACTTTGTTGAGGATGCCTTGGGCCGCGCATCAACAACCTAGGTTGCCAGGTAGCGCTCGAGACTGTGTTACACCGACGTAATTCACTAGCAGTAGCGACGGCTTTGGGGGCTGTGGAAATGCCCAGGTGTCGAGCGCGTGCCATCGCTGGTGGATGCATCGTGTGCATCCATCATGGTTCCGAGGGTTGAGGGTCAGGTCGCGTCGCGAAGCCCGTCTGGCACCCACAGCCTCACCGTTCGCGCAGCGGGCTATGACGAGGGCGTGAACTCTGCCATGCGATCACAAGCTCCATGTCCTCAGGATGGCTTTCGGGAATATTTTTAATCGATGGGGCGCCGCTTGCATGAGCCATGGACGCGTCCATTCAGCAGTTTCGACTAACCGCCGTGCGAGTGCAAGAGACGGAACGGCCCCGGACGAGCAACAATGAAGATCTGACAGGTACGAGGTGTTGTCACAGATTGAGACAAGCCCCCAAAGTCGAGCGGCGCAGTGTATTCATCCTTGGAGTGGGTGAAAGTTTGCGAGGCGTGGATATTTGCAACGGCTTCCATCTGTTGTGTTAGGTCATGGCGTGACGGCGCCCGTGGATCCCAGGCACAACACTCGGGATCCGCGCTAGCAGCCTGGGAATCCACCACACGGGACCGACTCCGATCAGAAGTTGTTGGAAGCATCGATTGTTGCTGCCTCGCCCAAATTAACGCGATGTATCATGCACATGGGGCCATCTCTATGCGATGGAGAACATCCAGGTAGCAGGCAGGCACGGACGGCAGGTTGCGATACCGCCCAGGTGTGGTAGTCGACCTCACGCGTCACCGCAACAGAAGATCGAAGCTGAAGGATTTAAGGTGCAGCAGGTCTGCAGCACGGGTTTGTTGGTATACGAGCCTAGTCACAAGCGACCTAGTCTTCTGTGCCATCAATGCAGCACAGAAGCAGCTAGACCCACTGGCGCGGGGTCCAAAGCTGACATCTGCTCAAGCACCGAGGACACGCATCACACATACCATCCACACCATCACGCAGATTATCGTTACTCGATAGACTGTTCGCATCTCTTCATCGAATTAGAGCTATTCATTGCAACCGAGCGGCAATCATGTCTCAGCCCACGGCACCCTCTATACCTGCATTCTATCGCATATTCTTTACATACCTCGACCCCATCATCTGCGCTTGGGGCGCAACCATGGACTTCTTCATGCCCACTGTCGTCCTCTCTTCACACATCCCCTCCCCCACCCCAGACATCGGCCACGTCATGATACTCAAGCAACGTGGCGGGGGCATGCTAAATTTCGGCATCATGTCTGCTGTCCTGCTACGATACACAAACGACATGAACGTCTGGCGCATTGTCCAGTTTTCGTGCTTCGTTGTCGATCTGGCGTACTATTGGGCAGTCTGGGAGGTGTTGGCAAAGCAGGGCAGACTAAGCGTGGGCACCTGGCGGGCGGAGGATTGGGGAAGTATAGGCATTACGGCGTTTGCAGGGTTGGTCAGACTAGCATTCATGGCAGGGGTGGGATTTGGTGAAGCCTCAAGGAATAACAAGAAGGACTTGTAGGCCTTGAAGAAGAAGTCCTACTACATGTCTCATTACGAGCGTATGAGCGCAAAAGAGTTGTTCGGTGCGAGATCATATTTTCTTCCGCTTGCCTGTTCATCATCGCCAGTCGCGATCCGTGGTGTTGAGATCATTGCTTGGCTGTACTCTGATCTTACTCCTATATTACCCCAGGACCCAGCGCAAGCCACTCGGCTATGTCTTGCCAGCCGTGTGCTACACTCGGTGCTGACTCTTGAAGCCTTTGCAACTCAGCTGCGAGCACGACTGCCTGTCTTGATCCAATCTTCAATGCAACAAAATGGAGAATGCCAATGACCCATTGCCGCATTTGATGCGAAATAAGCAGACACGTACCCACTGCATACAGTGGCTGGACGAGCTGCATTAGTCTCGGTGAGATGACTGAATCGATAAAGGTCCCCGGTTCTCTCATGATAGGTCCATCTTTTGTTTCATCTTCGGGGTCCATTCCAGCAGCAGAGAACACCGGGGATGGCACCATGCCGATGGTCTGGGGTACTGAGGCAATGATTGCGGCAACGTTACCTCGTAGCACATTCTCCTCATGCTGTATGCATGCTTTCAAACTGGCAGCGTCGTAGAGCGGGGAAGTTTGTTCCTCACGAACCCTCATCAGGTTTGCTCTGATAATATCGTGCACTTGAATTCCAATAAACCGGGTGTAATTCCACAACTGCGCCAGGACGGGAAAGAGGCAGATGCTGTATGTGTTTCCACAGTAATGGACTGAAGGTACATCAAGATGAACCCTTGTTGGATGCCAGGCTGCAGGTAAAAGAGCCTTGATATCCTCTAGCTCTTGACTGAGTTTTCTCGCACGGTTGATTGTTTCCACAGGATCTCGGCTTTTGTCTTGACCGAGTTTGACGACTGCGTCCATGACGTGCAAAATGCCGATCATGAATTTTTTTACAAGCTCGTTGAATCCCGATTCCAGGGGGAAGCTGTCATACAGCTCTTGCAAGTGCTCTAGATTTTGGTATGCGATGTTAGTTCGTGTATTACATGCAGTCCGCCGAGGGGTGTGACTAACTTGGAATACCCGTCCCTAGTTCAAGCGTGAAGAATAGAGCGACGCCGTATGACTGCTGGAATATTCGCCGTCCGAGTTCTGTCTCGAATTGCGACTTGCCGCGTAACATGAAGAGGGTGTAAGCACCGCTGACGTGCTTTGACCACCTATCGATGGAACTCTTATCTGTGTATACCGTGCCCTCGTACATGCCAAGTAGGATGACCGAAACCAAAGTGCTATCTTTGACCGCGGCTTCGTGCGACATGAGCGCTCTGTTTGTTTCCTCCAATGCAGAACCGTATGCGACACGCGCTTTTCGCATGACGGCAGGAGACTTCGCTGCATTGGCGAAGATTGCTAGACTTAGGGCGCGGAAGCTCTCACGAAGCGTACCCTCGATATTCGGCCGTGACAGCAGCTGGGGAATCCATTCGAATTGGCCTCCTTGAGGGAAGTCGGCAGCGCCTGCATAGTTGGCGAGGAAGAAGCCTTGCGCTTGAGCGTCGATATTCGGCGTGGGTTGCAAGGCCATGATCTCAGCCTTGGGTGGACTCTGCACCGGATAGATCCGCTGTATGCTTCTGATCCTGTTGGGTTCTCTACGTCCTAAAGGTGTTCTTGGTTCTTTTGATTTGGCAAGCTCTTCGTAACGCTGCTCCGCCTTCTTTGCCACGACGCGACTCTCATTCTTGAACATTAGGGAAGCCACGTCGCGGTATCCATGGCATTCTTTGCCTGCGCGGAGACATTGCGAGCAGGAAGGCCGCTTCTGGTCACACTGGAACAGCTGATTAGTGGCCCAAGTATCTACTCACGCGTGCATTACATACTTTGATCCTGCGGTCCCTACATGTCTTGCAACCTGGAGAAGGTCTGCCAACATTGGGCATTTCGAGAAATGATGACTAATTGCCCGGTGGTGATACGACGCAGTCCGGACCCGCACTGCTAAGTTCTCACCTACATCGATGATGGAAAGAAGGGAACGCCACGTTTGTGTTTGGGGAAAGTAAGCGAGCAGCAAGGAATGCAAGAACCGCTCCCGGGCCTATGTACCCCACTATTGAATCGTGACTAGGCCGGACCGCAAATGGGCAATTGTGGCGAGCCCCCCTTGCTTTAATCTCACAGTAGACTCAACAATCGCATGTCGCTTGCTGCCGCACCAAAGCTTGAGGCCGCGTAAGATCACAGCACACTAGCATCTGCAGAAACATATTCTATTACGATGAAAGATACATCCTCTATTTACGACAAGTCGATAATTCGTCACACATAATATTTACAAATCATAAAGCCTCCGAGGCGGATCTCACAGCTCAAATAGCATCCCTAGAGTTGACCTGCTCAAGATGGGCCGAGACACCCTTTTTCTCGGTATAATCGCTCTCGGTATCGCTGGAATGGAAGCTGTCAACGACCGTGCTGCTAAACTTCCTAGCCGGAACACGCTTCTCGAAGAGGATATCGAGCTCTCCGTAAGTCCTGCCCTTTGGCTCGGGAAGACGGAAGAACGCCCAGATAAAGCAGCAAAAGCACGTTCCGGCGTAGAAAAGACCACTCTTTGCGCCCCAATTCCAAGCACCGGGATTGAGCATGCGTGGAGTAATAACATTGCCGATGATAGAACCGATGTTGTAGAAGTTCCTGGCCAAGACCACAGTCTTTTGGCGAAGACGAGTGGATGGGATCTCTGCGACGATGGAGTAACAGACAGGTCCGACCGTGCAGTTGTATGCGGCTGCAAAAAGCAGGAGCATGGCGCCGATACCCCACTGCGCGCCAACGTTGCCGGCTGGAATGAAACCGAGACCTCCGATGATACACAACAACATAACCATGGCGAGATCGCCATACACGTACAATGTGCGGCGTCCTACACGTTGGATGAGAATCCAGGCCATGAAAACACCAACGCCACCAATTGCGTATTGTCCTAGACTCATGGAGAAGGCATCCGCGTCGCTAAGGCCTGCTTGCTGGAAAAAGTATGTCGAATAACCGATAAGACCTGCTCCGCAGAAGGCCTGCGTAAACCATGCCATGGCGGCGATTTCAGTTCGGCGGAGATCGGTACCCTTGAAACAGTCCAAGTACGAAGTACCTTCAGAGACCGCCATCTCCATGGCATTGGTGTGGCGCATCATAGCAATTGTCTCATCGGCGTTGAAGTCGGGCAGCTTTTCGGGTGATGTGAGGCGCATCAACATCTTCTTTGCTTCTTCGCATCGGTCTTTCCGTACAAGCCACCAGGGAGATTCAGGTGCGAATGAGATGCCAATCATCAACGGGAGAGGCCAGAGCCACTGCAGGGCGTATGGGATGCGGTATGCCCATTGGTCGGGGCGCTCGGCTACACCCTTCAAAACGCCAGAGGCGAGGAATTGACCGATGACCCAGCAGAGGTTGACGTATGTTGTAAGAATTGGACGAAGCGGCACCGGTACGACTTCGGCGGCATAGGTGCAAGTCAGGGTCTGGAATACACCCCATGGGATACCGCACAAGATGAGACCGCATAGAAGCATGGTGATGTTCTGCGCGAAGAAGACGATGAAGATGAAGAAATTCACCGCGAAGAGCGCGCCGATCATTGTCTTCTTGTAGCCGAAACGATCCGCGATAAGACCGTTCAGGAGCAGACCTGTGAACTCTCCAACGTATGCACCGTTCGTGAGGCCCGCTTGCCACGCAGCGGTGAGTTCGAAGGAACCATCTGCAAGTTGTTCGCCAAACTTTTGCTTAAAGGCAGGAACCGCCATCAAGTTGGCGATCAAGACTTTGTCGAAGCCTTCCATGATGATGGCTGCGGAGAGCAGGACAGACCAGGCGATGGCCTTTGGGTATAACTTGATACCCTGGCGCAGGGTCATCTGCTGCTCTGATCGAGTCGCGTTGCCGGCATCGTGGGCGACTTGTTTGATGTCCGTGACGGCGAGTGAAAGGCGGCGTGCCTGTTCGGCGTCGATAGCGACGACACTGCTGTTGCGGCGAGACATGATGGTCGTGTCCGAGGATGAGACGATGTCCAGGTGGCTTGACAAATGTGGGTATGTCCAAAGGATGAAGTAGGATGCTGTGGGTCAGACCCAGACCTCTCCTAAACGTGGAGCTGGTGGGACTCGAAGCTGGATGGTGATCTCTCGTGGTGGATACCGTCGTTCTACTTATACAACTTCACGACCCCAGACACGCGATACCCATGCATAGACAGCGCTCGTGCCAAGTCAGAAACCGGGGATGGTGGAGGCAGTCAAGGGATGCGGGGAGGACGCCACTCTTGCAGCTGTGAGGCCATCTTCATCGCGCAGCACTATGGCTTGAAAGGCTAGGCTGTTGCTGGTGAGGCCCGCCGACACGGGTGTGCCATCGAAAACTCGGAGCAGGAGTGAAGGTCGTGATTCGACAAGATGCCGGACCGAGATTTCAAGGTTGCGTGCACGAGCCCCAAAAGCCGAAGCGACCATCACGTGTGGCACGGAAATGCGACTGAGCGTTCCCGCTAACGCGCTTTGCCTTTCATCTCGGACCGAGAGCATGAATCGATAGCCTGTCGCGCCCACCATCTCCCCGCATGCATCCTCGCTTAAATCCCGCAATATCGGACACGCGGGAAAGAACGTTGAAACACCATGCGATGGAAGACATCTGTGGGGAAGACTGTTGCTGGGTTGTGTGGGGATCGCCATGTGCAGACACGATCCGGCTTTGAGCCAATCGTCATTGTACCGAGAAACTTTCCGGTGGGGGGAACCTCCACGTGCGGTCCAAACACAGTGACCAGATCTCAACGACTACCCTCCATCTGATAAGATCCTATTGCAAGACGCTTATAAGAAAGCCACTGGTGCCATTGCAAGCCACCAAAGAAACGCTTGACCTCTTCGACACTATACACCATCTATGATACCAGGGTGTTCAAAATTGCCCCAAAGAGCACGGATATCCAGCAGCAACACCATGACCGTCCCTCAAAGACCATGGTGGAAAGATGGTGTTGTATACCAAATTTACCCCGCTTCCTTCAAAGACTCCAATGGCGACGGCATTGGTGATCTCAATGGCATCATTTCAGAGTTGGACTACATCCGTTCCATTGGTGTTGACGTCATTTGGATCTGTCCCATGTACGATTCACCCCAAGTAGACAGTAAGCATTACCTCTATACAAATTGCACGTGGGATGTATATTGACCCTCCACGCCGACAGTGGGATACGACATCCGTGACTATGAGGATGTGTACAGGCCGTATGGTACTGTCCAAGACATGGAGAAGCTGATCGCCGAGACACATTCGCGAGGCATGAAGATTATACTGGATCTGGTGGTCAACCATACATCTGATCAGGTAAGTCTTGAAGGTGTAGCTCGGCACAACCTTGCAAAACTGACTTCTCCAAGCACAAATGGTTCTTAGAATCACGATCATCGAAAGACAACCCCAAGAGAGACTGGTACATCTGGAGACCAGCTCGTTATGTCAACGGCGAGCGCAAAGCTCCCAACAACTGGGTCGGCAACTTTACAGGTAGTGTGTGGGAGTGGGATGAGCATACCCAAGAATACTATCTACATCTCTTTTGCCCCGAGCAACCTGACCTTAACTGGGAGAACCCAGAAACACGACAAGCCATCTACAAATCCGCCATGGAGTTTTGGCTACAGCGCGGAGTCGATGGATTCCGCGTTGATACCGTCAACATGTACAGCAAAGGTGAGATGCTTGACGCACCGATCACCGATCCTGGTTCGGAATGGCAGTTTGCTGGATACCAGTACTGCAACGGCCCAAGGATGGCCGAATTCCTGAACGAGATGAACCAAATCTTGGAGAAGTACGATGCTATGACCGTCGGCGAGTGCCCCCATACACCAGACATGAAGAGAGTGTTGGAGTATGTTAGTGCTAAAGAGAAGCAACTGAACATGGTCTTCCAATTTGTGAGCAAGCCCGAAAAGCGCAAAAGCAAGAGATCGGCAGTACTAACTAGAAGCACAGGATGTCGTCGACGTCGGCCAAGGCCCCTACAAGTTCCAAACTACACCGAAGAACTGGACACTCCCACAGTTCAAACGTGCCATGGCCCGCACACAAGACCTCATTCGCGCCCCCTCAGATGGCTGGACCACCGTCTTCCTAGAGAATCACGACCAAAGTCGATCAATCACACGCTTTACTTCCGATGCGCCCGAGCACCGTGTCGCAGGCGGTAAAATGCTCGCATTGATGATGGCAGCACTCAGCGGCACGTTGTTCATCTACCAAGGCCAAGAGATTGGCATGACGAACTTTCCTCTGACCTGGGATATGAGCGAGTACAAGGACGTGGACTCGACAAACTACTACAAGATGGTAGCTGCACGGACAAAAGAAGACCCCAAGGCTCTTGAAGCTGCGCATAAGTCGCTTCAGCATCTCGCTAGAGACCATGCTCGTGTGCCGATGAGCTGGTCGACCGCAACGCACAACGGCTTCTCGCCGCCTGACGCTACCGCGGAACCGTGGATGCGACCTCTTGAGGACGCAAAGGTCTGCAATGTTGCGCAACAAAAAGGCGATAAAGATTCCGTGCTCGCTTTCTGGAAGCGCATGCTGCAAGTACGCAAGCAACACAACGATCTCCTTGTGCATGGCCAGTACGACGATCTAGATGTGGAAAGCCCAGAATTCTTTGTCTTCAGCAAGACATGGAATGAGAAGAGGGCCGTGTGCATTTGCAACTTCACGGACCAGAAGAAGGATCTGGCCTTCCCAGAAAGTGTGAAGAGCGAAAAGATGGAACTGCTTGTAAGCAGTGTGGATGACTGTGAGGAGAAGAAACTGGCTGCTTATGAAGGCAGAATCTATTTACTTGCCTAGATAGTGTCGCATGGACAAAATCATTGCTTGAAGTTAGATTTTACTGAGCTACATGAGCGACCTGCATGGACAAGCGTTGTGAAATATTGTTCCATGTGGCCAAATGTCCACTTCTCGCCTCTGATCTTGGAATTTCTTGGGCTTGAACCTGCACCAATCCGTCCGCCATATCCTCTAGCCCTGCAGCTGTCTTTGATTGCGTGACTTGATACCAAGGGTCGTTCACCCCACCCGGACTATTCACATCGTGTGGTAGGTTCGGCGAACTGGCATTGCTGAGTGCCTCAGGGAACATCGTTTGGAGGCGCTCTAGCTTCTCGAGCAGTATGCTTCGACGCGTCTGATCAAGGTGTGGAATCAGCAGGACAAAGTCTAGGATGAAGAGGAAATCGTCAATCCTCAGTGCCGTTTCATCGATAGTCGCGGCGGGAACGTGGATAAGAACATCGGCAATCGTATCTGTGATCTCGAAAAGTTTCTGAGTGATGCTGCTTCCGTGTACTTCGATGTCGTGGCGCGACATACTGGATAATTGTTGCCGTAATGTCTGTGACAGCCTTACCGGGAATAAGAGCGACAGGCAATCTTTCGAAGATCGAGAAGACAAGAGGGTTTGGCTCATAGCTAAGCGCCAGACCAGAGTGCGCAGCCATTCACGCGTGATGCACAGATCGGCTCGTTGCATCATGGACAACATGGCCAACTCCCGTGCGTCAGCCTCAGGGTCGCCTTCAAGCTCGCGCGACTTGGCCTCGACCCACGTGCTGGTGACGTTGCCTCCTTGCGTGTCAAGCCAGCTATCAAGGAACTCCGTATCAAGCATGCGGAAAAGCTTGATGATCTGATTGAAGCCCTCGTGGACCTGTATCGGTAGTGTAGGGTCGTCTTCCGGCAATGTGTAGAGTGGAGGGAGAATGGCACGCCGGTAATCCAGGATAGCTATGAATCGCTCGTGTATGTACGCTTGCCAGTAGAGCCGCTGTCTTCGGGATCGTTCGGGAGGAGACAGCTGGGCCACGTTCTCCGGCTTGTCGATCTGCAGCAGCTGGATGATCGTAATGGCGTCTCGCATGTAGTAGAATGCGCTGTCGCTACCTTGCAGACTCATGAGGCAGTTGTGTATGAACATTGACTGCACGGCTCGCATGACCGAGAAATGGCAATGCTTGTGGGTTCGCCTCATGGTATCGATCGAGTAGTCCATGAGGTTTTCGATGGTTTGGACGATTTCTTCTGTTCGGCGGTCACCATACCGGGTCAAGTTCAGCGTGCAGCCTCCGAATGCGTAGATGAATGAGCGGACATCTGGGTCGCTGTCCATGACCTCGATGTACTGTCGGAGCTCATGTTCGGCAATGACCGGATGAACTGGATACACCCCAGCAACGTAATCCGGGATGAGGTCGAGAAAGAAAGCCTTGGGGTACTGTGATGTGAAAGATGACGAAGGAGATGCTGCCCGGAGTCAGCAGTAGCACCCCAAATTTGAGTAGAGATTGCCAGGGTGACATACTTGGTGTGCCTCCATTACGGTCAAGTATCGGCGAGATGGGACTGTACGGTGTCTGAAAGCTAGCTGCTGCTGAATGAGCAGGCAGTATGGGCGGCGATATTGCAGGCAAATTGGACGTTTGGCTTCTGAACTCGGAGATGATATGGCCTCGCTTGCCCTGAGACCTTTGCTTGCCGGAGGGTGAGTAGATGCACCGCAAGCCGAGATGCGCGCACTGTTGACACCGTGCTTGGCCGTTACAACGCACTTTCCTCCTCTTGCACGCGTCGCATGCTTTCGATACTCGTTTCTGGGATGGTTGTTCCATGTTCATAATGGGTCCTGCTGTGTGCATAATGTTTTTGTAGAGCCTCGGTGTCGGGATGATCAGGCGATCTGGGGAAGGACTGCGGAGACGCGCTAGCGGAGCGTAGTTCCTAATTGGTCCACCTGCAGACTGGGTTTGATCGAACGGCGAAACAGGCAGGTGCGAGTGGCGTAGAAGGCGCGCCGAAAGGTCTAGGAATGACATTGCATAGTCTAAAAATGCGTACCTGAGTCGGACGGAACAATTGTGGGGTCGACTGCATGTCAGCTTACATATCCTGGCATGTGAAGACCGGCCTACATATGATGCTCTACATGTGTCTAACAGCATTGCCCAAATAGAGGATTGCGCTGCTTGTGTATTCTCCAAGAACTGTGTAGGTTTGCTAAGAGTGATGAGCATGAGAAGGGCTGGAGGTACTCTGTGCACGACTGGGATTTGAGGAGCTGCTGGTAAGACCTCTTTGCCTGCTTCGTTGCTTGCTTAACGTTCACAGCTACGAGAAACAATTCTATGTATGCAGCAAAGATATCTATGTTCCCGACACTTACCGCGGGCAAAAAAGCGGGCAAAAAAGAGTGCGCAGAGCTGTCACAACACAGTTTCGACCTTAGAGCAAAAAGAGATGACCACCTCCGTAATCTTTGGACATCTGAAACCCTTTTATTGCTTCTTGTGGCGGATTTGTCACGACTGGCTATGTTGTGTATCTTTTTTGCTTGGACAGTGTCCTCTTTTTGTTCCAGCCGCCATCCCGGTTTTGAGGTAGAATGGTTTGATGGAGTATTTCGGAATTAACGAACATATATACAGATATAAGAGTGGATAAAGAAGTGGGGTACATAGAGATTGTGGTGGAATAGGTAAAAAACAAACGCGAGCTCGGGGGTCGATCCGCTCTCACCTTCACTTTCACTGCGAGGTTACACAGGAAAGACGCGTCACCATGAGCCCAGAGATGAAGATTGTGCGCCCTCACCGTCACCGCTGTATGCGGCAAACGGTTTTGGTGGTCTCATATCGTCGTTGCCTTGACTGTCTTTGCGGCCTACAACGCGACACCACCACTACAACCACCACACCACAGTTGTCCCTGCAGCCTACATTGCAACACTACCTCCACTCAAACACACTACAAAAATCTACGTATTCCTCAACATGTTTCAGCGGACCGCAACACCCCTCCAGCAGGCTCTACGTAGTATCCTGCTGGCCGACATGGCCATGAACAAGGCGGTGGGGCCAGATGAGTGGATGGAGGCGGTATGTATAACAGTATTAGTGAAAGCAATATAATCTAACATCATGTAGTATACTAACTGGCATGAGGCCAATCAGTGGAGGGAGGAGATTGCCTCTGGAAAGAAGGCGGAGAAGAAGCTTTGGGAGCGGAAGCGACCTCTTGCTGAGGACTTTTTCTACACATCATACCCACCCGAGCCCAAACCGCGAGACGCGCGAAATGCGCTTCAGCAAAGGAAAGAAGATGTAAAAAATCTTCAAAGCGAGATCGAGAAGAGAGCTGAGTTGGGCGACATTGATCAAGGTCCACTCCCCCGCGCACAGCCTAGACACGGCAACAGTGTGGACAGGTCACTCAGAATGCGACTGACCATGAAAGAAGAACGCCTGGTCAGGGAGAAGAAGACGGAACAGTCTTAAATTCTGAAGTTGGCTTTAACCATTCACGCATGTATCGTACTATAGAAAGGCTGCCGAAGCCACCGCAAATATGCATGAAATCCTCCAATCACACCAACCAGAACTACTTAATCGAACCTGTGAGGCATCTCCGGAGTACCGTTACCACCATACATAGCTTCCTGCTCAGCCTGCTCCTTGGCCTGGAGGTACTGCCACCTTACACGGGCAGCCTTGAGCTCCGCCTCGGCAACTTCCAACTCCGCCTGCATCTTTTGGACAGCAAGAGGCTGGCCAGACGTATCCACGGTATCTACAGTCTCGACAGGGTACATGCGCGCATCTTGGGGACCTGGAGAGACGGAGAAGACAGGAGTCCGGTGGGTGAGGAGGGACTGGGTACCGTGAGAGCTAGTATAGTCTTCATCGTCTTCGGTGACGATGGTCCTGGAGCGGCGAGTAGCGATTCCGCGACCACTGGGAGTGGTGCTGGTACGGACAGAGCGCTCACGCTTCTTGGCCCGCTTGTCGTGACGCTCGAAGCCACCATCCTCGGCACGGCGGAGACGGTTAGGAGCACCTACTCAATGTCAATAACATTGTTCGACGTTCGAAGTTTCAAAGTCGTCGCTGATGTATCTGTTGAACGACTTTCGGTATGACAGAGGGGTTGACTTACGTTTGCGGCGCTTCTCTGCAATGCGTGCTTCGTAGACCTCGTGGTTACCACGACGCCTCTTAGCGCCCTTGGGTTGATCTGGCTCGACAAGCTCTTCGAAGTAGGAGTCATCGGAAGATTCTTCAGAGGACTCCGGGATGACGACCTGGTTCTTGCGCTCTGGGTGCTCGTACTCATCCTTGATGTCTCTGATATCGGCCAGACGAGCCCAGGGATGCTTGGGCTCATGAAGAGCGACCTTAGCACGCAGATCAGCTTGGAACCGAGCTAGGTCTCCATTCGTGAGACGAGAAATAGACATCAGATCTTTGAGGAACTGTACACCCCAGTTGCGAGGGTCGTTCTCGGTCTCGTCCTTGATATGGTCGCGGCGCTCGCAATCCCAGGCGCGCATGCGAATGTCCTCAGGGATGATGTCCAGGCTCTCGGCGAGACCAAAGGAAGCTGCCAGGGCGGGCAGAAGACAATTCACCAGGTCCTTGGTGTCATCGTTGAGGGTTTCGAATCGGCCCATGGTGATAGCTGGTCCGTATGGACAGTGGACTTGAAGAGCTTGAGCTTGATGAACAAACTGCCGCCGGAGCGTTGAGGCAGTTATCTGAGCTGTAGAGGTTAGCAAGAGGTTTGGCGTCAAGTCTAGATTGGAAGGCTGGAGCAAGAGGATCGCCTCAGCAGATCAAAGTCGCGTCGCACTGAAGGACGAGGCGTCTGCGCCGAACAAATCGCACGAACTTACCTTGAGTCGCCGCGAAGAATCGCTTTGATCGCGCCAAATACTACTGAAGTTGTAGCGGCGAGTAAGTGGTAGAGGATCAGTGTTGGAGATCAGATATCGCTACCTATATACTCTTGTATGCGCTAGCAGTAACGGCCCGTTGCCTGCTGCGAATCTTGAGTCTTAGCAAGGTCGTCCAATGACAGGTAAGTGGGGTATATATCCCGAGATGTGGTCTCGTGCGCTTGATGTGACGTGTTCGTAGAATTGAGAAGTGAAAGATTTGAGACACCCCCGGGTACCCTCGGTGCTGTCGGTAAGGGAGGTAGACAGCCAAGTTGTTGATTTTTGGCAAGTGATCATGTAAGTATAAGAGAGAGCAAAGCTATATATACGAAGAGGACGGTGGCTATGAGTTATATACCTGAGCAACAATTGGTTCAAGAAACCTAGTGAGAGAAATGACAGCCTTGACCACATCAGAATTTCTAGCTTGACCGCCTGGGTAATGACGATACGTCCTCAGAAACGGATCCTACGTATTTGCTTGATGAGATTTCTTGTCTGGACAGGAGGGATGCGCATCGTATCTTTCAAGAAGAGTACGTGCACAAGTGACGCAGGAATTGTTCATGGTCTTGGAAGAGAATGTTGTAAACAGATGACAAAATTCAGCCGTGGTAACTAGAACGACTAAGTCTGAGATAACTGCTAGTGGACGCAAAATCGATGGAAGCTTGATGTTCAAAGATGATGTTTCGTGGAAGCAGCGCTGACAAGCTTCGCGACTTCTTTCGGCATCCGCGCTAAAGTCGCGCTTCCGCATGCGCCTTCCCTGCACGTTACCAACCTCCCATCCCTTCTCCAACTTGGACCACACAACATCCAGTGCAACAAGCGCATGAAAAGAGATGGCCATGAAAAGGGAGCGCTCACCATCTCCGAAACCCACAACTGAAATCTATCTCTCGTCAGCAATACAAGAGCAGACATCAACATTCAAAGCCGCGTTCTCTCCTAACCTATCCACCAAAGCCTTACAAACACTCCCCGAATTCCGGACTGCCACCCACAAAATCGCAGCATGGAGAAAACCATCACGGCAAAAGTCTTTGATGCCAGAATCCCGCACTTTGTATGATCTTGGCCACGATGATGACGGCGAAAAGTGGGCCGGAGGACGACTCAGCAATGTACTACGAGACACGCAGACCGAGGGTGTTGTAGTAGTTGCGCGCTGGTACGGCGGGCAAAACATCGGTCCCATACGTTTCACGCATATTGAAAACAGCGCCAAGGAAGCGATTTGGAAGTGGAAAGTCGCCGATACGGAGATCAAGCAAGAGCAGGCCACCAAGAAGCAAAGAGTCGATGAAGAAGCTAAGCGGGAAGAGCTGATTAAGAACCTACAGGAAAGGGATTACAACATCTTTGCGCTGAGGAAGTTGTTGAGTCAGAAAAAGGCGCAGTTGCAGGATGAGGAGCCTGCGCCGCCGACGCCGCAGAAGATGCAGGATTATGGGAAGATGACTATGGACGCGCTGACGAGGGTGGACAAAGCAAGGGATGCTACGATTGCGTTCATTTTGAAGCAAATTGATAAGATTGATGAGGAGCTTAAGCTTGTGGAAGCGTTGGAGGACGGCACGCAAGGGGCGGAAGAGGAGGGAAAGGCTGGAGAGGGAAAGCCTTCGACGCCAAAGTGATGCGATGGCCATTGTGGTCATCGGATACCACAGAGCTCTCCATATGATTGTCGGTTGGACGTCGGCTTATGTACCCCCTATCAGCGCCAGTGTGAGAGAAGCATTCGGGGTTACCAGGAGAGTCCCATGCAGCTCTCTAGACATCGTCTCTGGAACCGACAACACCTTCCAACGCCGTATCCACAAGGATGGATCTCTAGTCCACTTCCCAACGCAATCAACAACATGGGGAGGAACTACGTTCGTGGGCTGGTTGATGCGTTCAAACCCAAAGAGGCTGGAGCAGGAGGATTACCAGTCAGATAGAGACTCTGTGTAAGTATTTACTACTCCAGAAGATGCATGTTTCCCTGTCTTATATAGTACATGTCTCTACATGCACATTACGCATACTGTACATTCAATATACACAAGCGCCCCATCTCCCAGCCAGAGGCCTCCGAGTCCAACACATGCTTGCCCGTTGAATAGACAAACACTTGCTGCTCTAATGACTGATATTCCACCTCCCCTTCTTCAACCTCCGCATAATCATCTTCCGCCCCTTCTTCGTCCTAATCCTGCTCAAAAACCCATGTCTCCTCTTGCGCACCAGATGGCTCGGATTATACGTATCACGCGGACCGCACCGAATCTGCATGCTGCCCAGACCAGGATGTGACGAGATTTTGGAGGCGAGGTCCAGCGTCTCAGAGCTTGAGGGGACCAGAGAGGTGGTGCCCGCGGGCGGGAGGGCGTTTGTGCGGGGCAGCATGGGGCGTCGGGGGGTGAGGAGCGATATTTGGCGGGTGGACGAGGGTATGGATAGTCTGGAGGATGGGTTAGAGGTGTGGAGAAGGGGCTTGGAGGAAGGATAGGTACGAGTGTGGTGGTGCTATGCGTGGTCGGAGGAGTGTGGATGCGCTGGTTGAAGGGCGCGCGACGACCCGTAGGCACCGGAAGGCGTTCATGATGTGTATGTCGACCGCAATTGTCCTCTCTTCGCCCGTTGTATCGTCTCCGTGGCGGCGTGGTCCCGATTTGTCGATGCGAGCGTGCAGTCTGGCATGCCCGTCGCGAAGTCCGCAGAGCTAACACATTCCTTGTCGTCCGTGCGCAAAAAGTTGGCCGTCCTCCCAAAATCCTAGCCAACAACTCCACCATTTCCACGATAGCAACTACCCACCCAACCCTCTATTTCGCGCCCAAATACTGCCAAAATGATGCTCGAAGCACCTCCTCCCCGCCGCCACGTCTCCAGCGCGCCCATCTCTCTCGACGATGCGTCGGCCATCCTCGAAAAGTACCTCTCGAACTCGGAAACGTACCCGCATCTCCATCCCGATGCGACTATCACGCCAGAAGGCGTCGCATTCAATGCGCAAGGCGGCGCTATGGGCAACCCAATCATGCACCACTTGCGCCGTGTCGCAGCGGGTATGCGCGGCGAGTACCAAGAACCAGAACGAGCGCTAGACGAGGAAGACGACCAACAAAACGCAACCACGGATGTCACTGTCAAGACTGGTCGCAAGGGCGGCCTCAAGAAGACCAGCCAGTTTGCAGCGGTTGCCGAGGGAGAATGGCAGGACCTGGCTGAGTACCAGGCCGAGCAGGGAGATATTGAGATCGGAGAGATTGGCGACAGGACGAATGTTGTGCAGGAGGGTGGTGAAGAGCCTCCGGTACAGTCTACCAAGGGCAAAGACAAGAAGCGGACGAATGCACAGGTGGAGGAGCAGGAGCCCGCGGATGGCGCCATAGACAAGGAAGCCAGGAAGAGGGCGAAGAAAGAACGAGACCAGCAGAGGAAGAAGGAAAAGGCCGCGAAGGGCAAGTCAAAAGAGTAAAGGTGTCACATCTCACGATTTGGAAAAGATACATGGTGGGAACGACTTTGACGGACGCCTCGGCCATTGCATTTGGGCTGTATTCTACGAACTTTTCGTCGCACTTGCGACCCTGCCCGGTCAAGTTCCCATGACCTTTTATACCCAATATTGTACAAAATCCGATCGAGATCCACGCCTAGAGTTCCCGATCCGCTGCCTTGATAGGCTTCTCCTCGTCCGCCGCCTTGTCCTCCGAGACCTTCTTGTCGTCAGTCCAGTTCATAGCCTTGAGGCGCTCCGTCAGGATGGGGTGGGAGTGGTGGAAGCTGGAGTAGAACCAGTCGGCATCCATGCTTGACAGGTTCTGGATCTGAAGCTTGATCAATGAGGCACCGAGTTCGCGCGCATATCCGAGCTTGACGGCGAAGGCATCTGGGTGTTGTTAGCATTGGCTGAGACATGGATTGGGACCAGGATACATACCAGCTTCGTACTCCATGCTGCGAGTCCAGATGTTGAGAAGGAGCTTGATGATGGAGTCCGTGGGCGACAAGATCTCGTTGAAGAGCATGAAGCCAACAATCGTCGGCTGCTCCCTGTGGAAACCAAAGTCGGCGTAAAGCGAGCGGTTGTCGATGAAGACGGAGAACAGGGCGAACATGTAGAATAGATGCGCCTGGCTAATGAAAAGGAGTCGCGAAGTGTGGTTCATCTTCCAGTGTCCAAGTTCGTGTGCCAGGACAGCCTCAACTTCCTTCTCCGTGCTCTTCTCTAGCAGTGTGTCGTAGATGACAATCTTCTTCTTGCCGATCCAAGGTAGTCCAGTGAAGTATGCGTTGCTATGGGCGCTGCGCTTGCTGCCGTCGATGACCTGTAGTTCCGAGAGCGGGAAGTTGAGCTTAGACGCAAGCGCCTCGACAGACTCCTTGAGCTTGCCGGGCTTGAGCGGCTCCAGCTTGTTGAACATGGGCACAATGAGGATCGGGTAGATGGTCATGCCAGTGATCTGAATAACCAGCATGAACATCCACAGGTAGTAGAAGAAACCCTGGCCTGTCTTCTTGATGATGGCCAAGAAGGCGCTTCCAATGGGAATACCGAAGGCAATAGCGAGAGCCTGACCCTTGATCATGTCCGTGAGCCAGAGCTTGACCGTCATCTTATTGAAACCAAACTTCTCCTCCAGCACGAAGCTGTGGTAGTAGGAGAAGCCCAGGCCGGTGATCAGATCGATCCACCCCAACATGTACATGAACAAGAGCGACTGGGGAATTTCACCAGAGAAGCGGACGGGCGCATAACGAGCGACGACAGTGCCGGCGGCGGCCCAGACGAGCGGGTATACGTTGAAGTAGAGGACGGCGAGGGATTTGACCTGGTTGAAGAGAGCGGAGAAGAAGCTGAACTTGGCTTTGGCGCGGCCATATTCCTGTCTTCAAGTCAGCGCTGGTAAGCATGGCGGGGTTGCTGCAATTGTGCGCGTACCTGGGATTTATCGAAGGTCTCCCTTTCAATTTCCTTATCGAGAGCCTTGGGGACGGTGGTGCGTTGGAGGACACGGTACTGGCGGAAGAGAAGCCAGTTCTCCAGGGCGAACTCTGCGAGCGAGAAGCCAACAACGAGGCGCTTCCATGGAAAGAGCGGCCGGTCGAGCCAGCGGCCCAGGCGCTGCGTCGTGTTAGTCATGGTAGCCTCAGTTGATTTGCGTGCGCACTAACCTGAAGGATTGCCTGGATCATGGCGGTGGTGGTGAATGTTGGTTGCAGGCAGACGCGCGAGGACAGATACATGTTCAATGTTCCGCGTCAGCACTCCAGGGCTAGCGCCAGACAGGGTTCAACCACAGTACGTCACAGGGCTAGGTATTGTTCTTCTCTTCCATCCTATCTTTCTCTGAGCGCCCTCTCCCAGAACAAATGTATACCCCTTCTAGTCTTTCTTTCTATGATTTCGTGCCACGACGACACGCTATATCACTTGGCGACAGTCACGAATGCATCCCAAGATGATACGCCTTCACGCGCGCGCGTTTGCTCGACACGTTGCTCTACAAGATAATGCCACCTTAGCTCAGGCCTTGCTGTTTACGCCAGCAGGACCAAAATAACATGCGTGAACCACCCTCGCTCAACGGGTCTGAATAGAGGAATGGATTCTACATCTATGACTTCAGTCATTCATCACTGTCAGGAAGACTGCAGAAGTAGCCGTTCGAGGTGAGCCCCAACGCGCTTGCCTTCGTAGCTGCGCGGTGAGAGGAAGGCGCAAGGCGTGACTGAACGTAATTTCGTTACACTCTGAGCGAGCACCCAAACAAGCAACTGAACATCTAGACCTTCACTGCAACCAATTCCAGTCTCGTCCCCGCAGCTACACTAACCCCACGCGCGACTACCACGGTTCCGAAAATAGCTCGGTATGAAGCGTCAGAGCAGCATCTTCCGCGCCAAGCGACTGTCGAAAGCATTTACATCGACACTGACCAGCGTCTTCGAAAAGGCCGATTCGAGAAAAGGCACCACGACAACAGCGCATCATCTCCTCTCGCCGATAGCCGAACGACACTCAAAGGACAGCTCTAGGCCAGGAAGCGTACAGGAAGATCTCGACTCCGCGATCCCTGCAGAAGCGCCCACCGAGTATTATATAATACAGGAGAACAAGTATCCTGCTCTGCGGGCCTTGCGTAGCGATGCAGAGATCGGGGACGGAATATGGAGATGCTGTCACTGTCGTCATGAGAACGTCGTTACGCACTACAAAGGCGCGTTTCCTTTCAAACATCTGGTATGCAGTCGCTGCAACGAGATACTGTGTTCTCAGTGTCACTCATCCGAGATCCTATCACCTCTACCGTACGGCATGATTCAAGCACCACGGCCACGCCTCGATCGCGAAGTTCGTTATTTCCACATCTGCACTACCTGCGGACTGAGTCATCGCGCCGAGATGGAAGGTACGACCCTAGACTTTTATGGTGTCAAGTGTGCGGCTTGCGGGAGCACTTCATACGGTGACTGGCCACGCTACCATATCGGTAACAACGAGCCGTATAGGAGGGATCCGGATGCGAGCTTTGTCAAACTCATCGATGCAAGAGCTGATGATGCGACGAGGCTTACTTTTCGGTGGATCATTGCGAACGAGGATGCGCCATCATCGGGACTGAGTTGCAGGAATCCAGGATGA